AGCAGACTCCAGCATCATGTGTATCAGCATCCCCATGTTGAAAAATGGTGGTGGGGTGCTTTAACTAAAGCTCATTTGACTCATTTGACAAGCTTTAGTTAAAAGTGCCCTGGCTTCCATTTTTCAGTGCAGGGACGCTGTTACACGTGATGCTCCGGATGCTTTAATTAGAGCAGCTCTTGGAGCTGCTCTAATTAAAGCACCCCTCCCCCTCACCTCCCAGATTATGTCTATAAACACCCAATAAGCTCACTTCCCTCAGCCTCTCCTCAGAAGTCACATGCCCCAGCCCCCAAACCATTTTTATTGCTGTCTGCTGGATTCTCTCCAATTTGTCCACATCCTTCCTGTAGTGGAGGCCCCAAAACTGGATACAGTACTCTAGATGTGGCCTCCCCAGTTCTGAGCAGACAGGAATAATCACATACCTTGATCTGCTGGCAACACTCCTACTAATGGTGCCCAGCATGCTGTTAGCTTTCTTTATGACAAGGGCACACTGTTAATTCATATTCGGCTTATTATCCACTGTAATCCCCAGGTCCTTTTCTGCCGAACTGCTGCCCAGCCACTCAGCCCCCAGCCTGTACTGATACATGGGATTGTGCCATTCTAAATACAAGACTTTGCATTTGTTCTTATTGAACCTCATGACATTTCTTTTGGTCCAATTCTCCAATTTGTCAAGGTCTCTCTGAATCGTAACCCTACCCTCCAGTGTATCTACTACTCCCCCCAGCTTGATGTCATCTGCAAACTTGCTGAGGGTGCGCCTATCCCATCTTTTAGGTCATTGATGAAAATATTGAAAAAATGTGAGGGAATTGGACATCCTCCTCCTTTCATTCTATTCATGTCCGATCTAAACAGAAAAATCTGCCTGCACATCAGAGTATAGGAACAGATCTCAAGAATGCAGAAGCTAACTGTGGTTTTACATGCAATATAAACCCCCTCTTCAAGGGCTTTTGGGCACTGTGGCAGGGCTCTTCTACTGAATCCAAGTTACAAGTAGTAATCCAATTACAAATTGATGCCAATATGACAGAAGAGGGATGTCCAATTCCCTCACACTCTTCTGAAACTCTATTTTTCCCTTAATATACAATGGCAATGTGATATATAACAAGAAAAGTTATCATCATACACAAATTTGGAGACCGTGGGTTCTTTTTCAGCCCCAATCTGGTGTGTGGTCTGGGGCTGATCACTCCCCTTGGCATCTGGTGAAATCTCCCCTAGAGCATCTGGGCCCATAACTAATTTGGGAACAAAAGCTTTTCAGGAACCAATTCTGTGATGGAAGAAGGGAGCATTTGTTCAGAGGAAAATTTCTGTTCCTTATAGGGTGTTTTCCATTTTCCAGCCAGCTCTAGATAAAACATATAAGCTGGTCTAATAAAAGATATCACCCTAAATCTCATGTCTTTTTCTGGGGCTACCTGTGCCCCAAAGAGTGGGGCCCAAAATAAAGGGACAGCACAGTTGGATTTTGTCCTCGTCTCTGCCACCAAAGTGCCGTGTGATCTTACACCATGCACTTCTCCCTTGTTATGCCTTAATAATCCCCACTGCTAAATGAGGCAGCACGTAAAGTACTTTGAGATCCTGATTCAAGGCCCTGTTGGACGGCAGAGCAATCACAGCATCACTACACAGTGTTCACCAAGGCATGGCTCTCCACAGCCTGCTCCTGTTCCAAAAGCTTTTCCCTCCGAGGAACTCCAGTTCTGCTTTCACAGTCATTGACTGTAGCCAACTGTTGGGATGCTGCTTGTCCATGGAGTGCTGCTGAACCAGACCTCGTGCTCCATTTAGCAACCCTTGGATTAGGGCATGGGAGCAGCCAGCAGTGAGGTGAAACACATGATGCGAGCAAGTAGGCATTCTGGGGAAGCACCATCTGACTGGATGCAAAAAGCGTAATGCAAGCGGTGACAGTTAGAGCAGGGTTGGGCAATTATTTTGGGCGAAGGGCCACTTAGGGAGTTTTGGCAAACCATCAAGGGCCACATGACAGGCAGCCAAGGGCAGATAAATAGTAATTTTCTAAATTTCTAGGGGCCCTGTGGGCCAGATAAAATGGCTGCATTTTGCCCACCCCTGAACCAAGATTGGTTCTGACCCTGATGAGGGGCCGAGGCAACACACCTCCATTGCAAAGGACCTGCAACCAAGGTTACAAGCAAATAGGCTAAGCATATTTAAGGTTACCATATTTCCAGTTCTAAAACAGAAGACATGTCATGCTAGGGGGAGGAGGTATATGATTGTGGGGGGCAGTGATATCCTGATGCCCTGCCCCTGCCCATTCCATTGCCCCTCACTCCCAAGCAACAGCCCCTGCCCCCCTGCTGCTGCCCCTTACTCTCAATCCAAAGTACCCGGCCCCCCTGGGCTATGCTGGTGCCCCTCACTCCCAACCTGCAGCCCCCTGGTGCTGCCAGTGCCCACACTCCTGACCAACAGTCCTCTGCCCCCCAGTGCCCCCCACTTCCAAGACACAGCCCCCACAGCCCTGCTGGTGCCCCTCACGCAGCCCCCTGTTCCCTCCAGGTGGCTCTCTGCTGCCCCTGAAGGGCCCCTCCACCCATCTTCCTCTGCTGGAGGGGCAGGTGCCTCCCCACACCTCTTCTGCCCTGCTGCAGCCCCAGTGCCTGGACAACTTCCCCCAGTGCTGGCAGGCACCCCCCCCCGCCCCCAAACACACACCCATCCCCTCCACACACACCCCCCAACAGTCCCCAAACCCTGGCCCTCCAATGCCATGCCCCACAGACTTACCTGCATGCAGCTACCAGAGCTGCTCCCACCCTCCTGCCTGGCTGCATGCCAGTCACGTGTATGTGCACCCTGCCTCCAGTCGCCCTCCCCTCACGCCCTCCAGCCCCAAGCAGGTCTTTGCTAGGCAAGCTGGGAAAAACTTCAAAGCTAAGCTGACCAAAATCTCAGACATTTGATCACATTTTTAAAAAACTGCCCGGACAGAGATGGGAGGACCCAAAAAGAAGACATGTCTGGGAAAACCCGGACTTACGGTAACCCTAAGCATATTGTGATATGTCTCTGTGAGGGAGACTGTAAATAACACCCCTCTCTTTTATACCCGTCCTGCACAGGAGCCTGCACAGATTGTCCCACATGTAGTCTGACTCCCCTCTGTACAGAGCAAAGATGCATTCTGCTTTATGTGTCAGGTAGAGGGAGGCTGTATACATCTGGTGAGCCAGATCCTTAGGTGGTATAAATCACTGTAGCACAAGGGCAGCAATGACTTACACTAGTGGAGGTTCTGACCCTGGAGCTTTATAGTAAAGCAATATATTTCCACAGGCCCTAATCCTACAGCCTTGCTGTAATCAGTGTGGCCAGTGACAGAAGGACCACTTGTCTGAGGGAGGCTTGCAGGGCCACTCCCAAGTTATTTATTAAATCAAGATACTCCAACCCACTCTACAACCCTGCCAAAAAACAAAACTCGCTGCAGTCAAAGTGCTCTGATAAGCAGTAGCGTATTTATTACCTTGGACTTCAACTCCCATCAAACTGACTGCTGCTTTGGAAGATAAGCAAGCTTCTACTGAAGTCACCGGCATGTCTTCCATTGAATTTGGTGGGACTTGGGTCACGCTTGCGACTGGCATCTGTAGAACTTGGCTCTGGCACTGCACACGGGGACCCTACGGTCACACAGAGTCCTGTTAGCTTCAGTGAGACTGCACATAGGATACGGAGCCCTGCCTTCCCACAGCCCCTATGAAACCAAACAAAAATAAGGCCTTTACAGAAAGTGACCAGGTGGCAGGATCAGAGCTTTGCTTTGCCCCTACCATTCTCTAGCATGCAATAGGGAAAAAAAGATTTTTTTTCTTCTCCCTTTTTTTTTAACTTTCCCTCTATTTTATTTTATTTTTTAACTTCAGTGTGTCTGTGGGCCAGCATGAAATCAAAGGGGATTGAGTCAAAACAGTGATTTTTCGTCCCGAGTAATCAGCCAGAAGGAATTGACTAGGCAACTTGATTAAAAACAATTAACAGATAAACAAAGCAAAAAAGAATTCTTGAAATTTAAAGGGAAAAGAGTCAAGCGAGCGATTGACGATGAGGATTTGAAGAGAGGGTTTATGTTTTTTCTTGTAATTTGAGACTCTAATGATGGACTTATGTTGCCCGCTCTTC